TAAATTACAGATTTTAATGCAACAAAATAGGAAAAACGCCAATGGGGATAAATACTTTTGCAAGGCACTGTAGATGTGTGGGGGCTGGAAGGGAGTGAGTTACAGATCCCCCTCGTAGCAGGGTACACTGACTAGCATGACTCTCAGAAGCCATGATGTGGCCTGGACTGTTCCATTACAGTGATCTATAGATAATAAATAAGGGTCTTTGACAGCAGCCAGTAAAACTGTAGCAGCTCAAAGTAAGAGGCCATTTCATCTCTGCTCAACACGGATGATGACAAGAAGACATCAGAAGACTGAGCATGTAAAACTTCAATGGATCACAGGAAATGCAAAAGAATATAGAAAGAAGCCCAGAGTTTTGGAAATCACCCCATGCAGATGACAGGGGGAGAAGGAAAAAAGAGAACCCTGCTTGAGTTAAGGAGCTGATAGTAATGTGGCTTTTTGTTCCCTAGATGGAGATTAAAAGGAGGAGGAGGGCTGAACATTTCTTCACTCCTCTCCTCTCCTCCACTCAGGTTTATTTCCCAACAAGCCCAGGCACGGGCCAAATAAACTCTTCAGAGAAAACAGGAAGAAAGAGGAGAGGAGATGGGGTTTTATTATTAGTGAAGCAGGGACTGAAATAAATTAAGGAAGGGGCTTGGGTGTGGCACAGCGAGGGGCTGCTGGTAGGACAACCTCTTCACTGTGTCATCAACCACTAGAGATTCAACCAACCAAAACATATTTACCATTATCATTCTAGAACTGTACTCTAGCATCTTGCAGTTATAGTGAAAAACAAACCACAACACCTTTACTGATCTTTTGCTTCAATCATACCACACTGGCTTATTTGCATACAGCTTTGACAGCTACTCTATAGCTACTTCTCTTTTTTCCACTACCAATAAACTAATCACTCTCTCTCTCTCTCCATTTCCTAGGAGGAGGAAGAGTAGGGAGAAGGGAACAGAGAGGATGATACTGTGCTCTGCTGTGGGGAGGCCTCTGATGTCCATATCTGTGCTCAGACACATTTCTGCTCTGCTGTGGAGGACTTTAATGTTAGCCAGCCTGACGTGGCTGTTCCCAGATAAGCACGTTCTCCAATATGAATACAGATGAATCCCTTTTAATAACCATTAAGGGGGGAGGACATAATCAGCGTATACAAATTCCATAAAATCTTCTTCCCTGCTGGCCGCGTGTCTACAGAAACCTGTGATTTACGTCTCCTGTAAGACAGCTTTACTGTAGGAGACAGGGACAGCCAGGAGGACACTGTGTGTGGGCATCACCTCATCTCCTAGCTCCTAGCTAGCTAACACCCTAAAACATTACACTACTAAAATACCAACACCATAATATTCATTTAAAATATATCTAAACCAGTCCTCTTCGTCCCCTTTAGTCCTTGACTCATTGTCGTCTTCCAGTGTACACCACCCTGATCCTCTTGTCTCTGTGCACTGTGCTTACAATCTAATGCATACACACATACACTCTTCAGTTTCACTAGTACGTTTGAGTGGAACACTTATCTTCCAGCGGCCAGAGCGCCAGGTGAGTATAGGGAGTGGGGGGATTGTCCATAGGGAGATCGGGGAGAGGAGCAGGGTGTGTATCACAGAGAGGATGTGTTGACTGGAGTGGCTTGGCTACAGCCAGGACCCCCAGTCAGCCTCCCTGAACTGGCCTTATCTCAGTCACACTACTGGTACTGGACCAGTAGAGAGGAACCCCAGTCAGCCTCCCTGAACTGGCCTTATCTCAGTCACACTACTGGTACTGGACCAGTAGAGAGGAACCCCAGTCAGAGGGACTCATTTCATATGTAATGGACTCTGTTCTCCTACATTCTTCATCTCATCTCTCTATCTCTCTCCAGGAGAGTACACTGAGCAGAAAGATGATTTTCTCTCCTGTATTTACAGTTTCTTCCATCGAGAGACAGAGGCTGATTGATTGCTTGCTCAGCATTGGTGCCAGTCAGGTCCACTTTGGGAGAGCATGTACAGTAAATACTTTACAGTATAGGGCTAACCTTGTTACAGTTATCAAATTAACTGCAATTAACTAATTAGTCCACGACGTATAGAGTAGCGGAGCGACTTAACGTTATGAAGAGGGATAAAGAAGACTAGCAGAAAGAAGAAAAACAAGGAGCCGTTGAGGATATTTCAGAAGGGGAACATAATGACATCATCCCCAATCAACACCAACACCTGTAGAAAGAGAAGGACCCTTCAAGCCCAATGCATACATCTCACAGGAACATCAAGAAGGGAGTCAAGAGTCTTAAGGAGGAATACCCACTACAATCAAGAGGAGAGTCCCAACAGAGATACCAGACAGATGGAGGTTCATTGAAACATCGATGGTCACAACACCCATACATAGACACACAGCAACACAGTACAGTATGACAACCAGGCTGATGACTGTGCTGGGATGGGGACAGCTGTTTGTAGTGCTCAGGCCCTGCCCAATTACAAATCCAGACCATTTTCAAAGGATTAATTTAGGGAGGGGCCATCTCTTCCTGCGGGAAAAAAGGTGTGAAATATGGGGTTTTGCCACCTCAAGGTAGGGATTTGATTTGTATTGGGAAAGGCCTGGAGTCTGTCAAACATATATAATGTAGGCAGGAGAGGAGAGTTGAGGAGGGACCTGTGGGGGGAGACAGACAAATGAACAGTACCTGCAGGGGTGAAGGTGAAGGACTGAACTGCAAAACAAGAAGACAGAGAAGTCGTGTGTTAAAGGCATGCAGAGGTGCTGTAAGTGGTGCTTTGGGGGGCTCTGCACACTGGGGCTGGGGGACAGGGAGGCCAAATGGGGCCAGAGGAGAGGGGCCATCCCCATGACCCAGTGTGCAGGGCTACAGCCAGGAAAGCAGCTCAGAGGCCACAGAGATGTAGCGATAGCAGCAAAAACCAAAGATAACACAACATACACAAAATATATCAAACAGAAATGAAGGACAGGTTACAGCCGTTTGACTGACTGTGGCAAGATCAAGAACTGTTCAGGTTCTAAAGTCAGTTTGCTCTAAGGAATTGAATGAATGTTAAAAAAGAGATGTGCAATATGAAAAAATACAAACTATTGAGAGAGATAACTATTTTTCTTGTAATGTTGATTTAAAGTGCTAAATCCATTGTTGAACAACATTACATTACATGCATTGCTAATGTGCCATCTATTTCCCACTCTCTAGTTAAATAGGCTGGCAGTGGAAGGCTGTCCATTGTGGTTGGCTGTCTTGACTGGGGTCGAGCACCCACACTCCGTCTGAAATGTCAGGGTCGGTGTGTAGGAGGATGGATGGACTGGCTCCAGCTCCAGCATGGCTCAGTCCTGAGTGACAGGCCAGACCAGCAGAGAGTCAGTTATACCAACGACCCACTCAGGTCCTGCTACCCTAGGCTAGTATCAACACTGTGAGAGGAGCACCAGCAACCCACTCAGACCCTGCCACCCTAGGCTAGTATCAACACTGTGGGAGGACGTGTCAAACATCACAACGATCACAACATGATTCACGCCAACACTCTGCTCTGCATCAATTTGTTCCATCTGAGCCTCATCATATCAGACAGTAGAAATATCCCCTCACAATAGAGTCAATAACGAATTCTTTAAAACATAGTTCAGGGATTGCTTTTGAGGAAGTTTGTTGAGGAAGCAAGCTTCCAGTGGTACACTAATGTAACCTGCCTAAATTACTACTGACCCGTAGCACTCACATCTTTAGCCATGAAGTTCTTTGAAAGGCTGGTCATGGCTCACATCAACACCATTATCCCAGAAACCATAGACCTACTCCAATTTGCATACCGCCCCAACAGATCCACAGATGATGCAATCTCTATTGTGCTCCACACTGCCCTTTCACACCTGGACAAAAGGAACACCTATGTGAGAATGTTATTCATTGAGTACAGCTCAGCGTTCAACACCATAGTGCCCTCAAAGCTCATCACTAAGCTAAGGACCCTGGGACTAAACACCTCCCTCTGCAACTGGATCCTGGACTTCCTGATGGGCCACCCCCCAGGTGGTAAGGGTAGGTAACAACACATCGGCCACGCTGATCCTCAACACTGGGGCCCCTCAGGGGTGTGTGCTCAGTCCCCTCCTGTACTCCCTGTTCACTCATGACTGCATGGCCAGGCACGACTCCAACACCATCATTAAGTTTGCCGATGACACAACAGTTGTAGGCCTGATCACTGACAATGACGAGACAGCCTATAGGGAGGAGCTCAGAGACCTGGCCGTGTGGTGCCAGGACAACAACCTCTCCCTCAATGTGATCAAGACAAAGGAGATGATTGTGGACTACAGGAAAAGAAGAGGACCGAGCACGCCCCCATTCTCATCGACGGGGCTGTAGTGGAGCAGATTGAGAGCTTCAAGTTCCTTGGTGTCCACATCACCAACAAACTAACATGGTCCAAGCACACCAAGATAGTCGTGAAGAGGGCACGACAAAACCTATTCCCCCTAAGGAGATTTGGCATGGGTCCTCAGATCCTCAAAAGGTTCTACAGCTGCACCATCGAGAGCATCCTGACTGGTTTCATCACTGCCTGGTATGGCAACTGCTCGGCCTCCGACCACAAGGCACTACAGAGGGTAGTGCGTACGGCCCAGTACATCACTGGGGCCAAGCTTCCTGCCATCCAGGATCTCTATACCAGGCGGTGTCAGAGGAAGGCCCTAAAAATTGTCAAAGACTCCAGCCACCCTAGTCATAGACTGTTCTTTCTGCTAACGCAAGGCAAGCGGTACCGGAGCGCCAAGTCTAGGTCCAAGAGGCTTCTAAACAGCTTCTACCCCTCAAGCCATAAGACTCCTGAACATCTAATCAAATGGCTACCCAGACTATTTGTATTGTCCCACCCCCCCCCCACCCCCCATCTGATTTGATTTGATTTGACAGTGTAGTTTGTATGTTGTGTGCAGAATTGGCGTCTGTGTGTCTCCAGCCTGCCGGTCTAACCTGCGTAGTTGCTGAGGCCCTTCCTCTTCTTCCTCCTCCAGTACAGCCAGATACTGAAGCCCATGAGGATGACCCAGCAGGCCCCTCCGATCCCTGCTATGAACGCCGGCTGCTTCACCACGTCTGTGATCTGCTCCGTGATGCTGTTGTTCCTGTTCCCACTCATGATCACTTCACGGAAGTCCTTACCTGGGGTGGGAGGCACAGGGGGACAGGGGGACGGGGATGGGAACGGGGGGACGGGGTCCAGTGTGAGGGTGTGTATGCAAGGTTGTTTGATTAATAAACAATTTTGTTGTTACAATTATTAGCCGGCTGGGGACAATATCAGCACTGTAATAGTCCCCACATATTCACTAAGAGCTCAATTTTACCTCAAGATATGCCTTCAACCTCAACAGGAAAATGTGAATTCCATGCACAGACCATAGTTAGGATTGGGCTCCAGGTGTAGAGCAGTAGATACGGTGAGATAGAGAGGCAATACCAGCCTCTTGTCAATTACAGCTAACATATTGACTGAGAGAGTAGAACATGGATGTGCTGTGAAACCTAATGTGCAGACAGAGAGAGGGGAGGGAGGCTAAGTCCTAAAAGCTGATGACAACCCCTCAGGTGATCCTGCTGTTTGCTTAGCTCAGACTCTAATTCACTTCAGTAAAATAGACCATGTGAGATGAGGGGCACACACCCTGCTCCGCATCGATCTACCAATCGAAGCTCACTCTGACTTGTCTGCCTGACACTATTTCATGGAGTGCAATAAGAGTTGGTTCTCAGAAGAGCACACATGACAATATATCTGCAATCTTTGGCTTGGAGAACTGAGATGGATTATAGGAGTGACATTGGGGAAATAAGAGTATGCTACAGGCCAAGCCATCAGTTATGGGTCAAATCAGACACAATCTGCCCCTGGTCCACATAAATCACACAGAACTACACCACAGCCCAGCTACACATAAATCACACAGAACTACACCACAGCCCAGCTACACATACATATAACAGAGCTATGGTTTAAAAACAATCAGTATGACTGATCATTCATGTCACACGCTCTCTAATAGTAAATACATTTGCCCCAATCAGTGATAATATTGAGCATTTAAACAAGCATTTTGTGTTCCCTGTCTGGAGGCCATGTTAATTGGAATGATGTTTTTTCCAATTTAAAAAAACGATATATGTCAAAAATGAAATGGGCTTTTCTGTAATTATGGATGAGTAATCAATGGGCCACTTTTACATTCCTCCATCATTCTACCATAAGGCCCCCTCATTCTACCCTTTCCCTTTCCCCTCCCCCTCCCCCTCCCCCCTCCCCCCTCCCATCCCCCCTTCTCCTCCCCCCGGGTCTCTTACCGATGACGATTGGCTGAGGTTCACTCTTTACCCCCACCCCTGCACTGGTGCTGGCGGCCACCTCCACCCGATACAGCACCCCCACCTGAAGCCCCCCCACAACCACCGACCGGATGGCTGCATCCACCGTCTTATTCACGTGGAAACGTGTCTCATTCCCTAGGCACCAGATCTGAAGAGAGGGAGAGAGACAGAAGAAGAGAGAACATAACATCCTGCCACAGTGGGGTCAAGTTGAGTATTATATTGATTCTGATGGCTTCTCGGTAAGCCAAAGCCATCAGGTTACATCCAGCCTATCATCTCTCTGTGACCTGCCTTGTACTCCTGGATGATGCCGTTCTGGTGGTCTGGAGGAGGGGGGTCCCAGGAGATGCTGATGGAGGTGCTGTTCTGGTTGCCCACCGTCAGGACTGTCACCTGCAGGGGAGGGGCACTGGGAGCTGGGGTTGAGGGGAGACAGATGGGATGGGGGGGGGGGGACAGTAGACTAGTCAGGGAACAGGGAGAGGGAGAGTATTCCATTCTCTAACGCGCACACAACCTCACACACACTAACATCCACACGCACACACACACACACACACACACACACACACACACACACACACACACACACACACACACACACACACACACACACACACACACACACACACACACACACGCACACACACACTCTCACTCACACACCCACACATGCATGGTCCTCTGTAGCTCAGCTGGTAGAGCACGGCGCTTGTAACGCCAAGGTAGTGGGTTCGATCCCCGGGACCACCCATACACAAAAAAAATGAATGCACGCATGACTGTAAGTCGCTTTGGATAAAAGCGTCTGCTAAATGGCATATTATTATTATTATTATATTATGCAGGACACTCTATACTCTCTCTCACACTCATCTTTATTCTGAGGAGGAGTGTGTGTAATGGTTAGCAAGTGGAAGACACAGGTGGCTGTGGGCAGAGCAGCAGCTCATTAGAAGGGGATTTACATGGAGAACAGGCAAGTACGACACGTCTATCTTTAACATTTCACTATGATTTAATATCCCAGCCCTGCTCCTGCGCCTGCTCCAACACAGAGGGATTTACACACAGAATAGTGCTATTGATTTTCAGAGGAACAGCCAGGCAGAGTCAGACAAGTATCCTCAGTCAAGCTAAAACTCCTCCATTGACTCAGCCAGGGTGGCATGTGGGTCAACAGGCTTATAGGATGAGCCATATGGCAGTGCAGCCATACGTGAGGAACATATGAAGAAATGTATTTTGGGGAGAATTGAAACATGGGGCTAGGTAAACATATTGACTGGTTTCATCGATCAGCCAGGTGGAACTAAAGCCAGTGGAGTAGAAAGCAGGGGGGAGGCTCTAAAGCGAGGCACAGCTCTATAGATGGGGTGTGTACATGGCCTGAGAGACAGAGCCCAGAGCCTACAGCAGACATCAGCCCTGGGTTTCATTATTAACCTCACATCGATGTCATTTCATAGAAACTCTCTGACCGACCGACTGACCGAGCGCCGGGCAAATTAATAACAACGAAGCAAACTGAAAATAAAGTTTTTCTAATTTCCGCTGCGACTGGCAGGTGAGTCACACCACAGCAGAATGCTGACAGGTCAATTACTCTGAGGCTGCCTCTCTCTCACCTCCCCCAGCTAGCACCCACCCCCTCCAAAATGGCACGTGTCATGCTGCAGATCTACGCTCATCCCTCGCTGGAGCCATACTGGTACACTGACCCCCAAAAGGCCAAGAGAGGAGCAGGCATGGAGGAAGAAGACAAACGGCTCCAATGATGGACGCCTTATTAGAAACCACCACCAAGGGAGCAGACCATCTCACATCATGCTTAGAGGCATCCGCCGCCCTCCACAGCTGTGTTAGATTACACAGAGGTGACAAAACGTTAAGTCGCAGCGCAGCAGCCATCAGAGACAATGTCGTTCAAAGTTAACGTTATGAATGATTTAACAGCTTATTATTATGCATATTTGCGCTAAACAATACACATTTCTCATTAGGAGCAGTGCCGGCTGCGCTAATAGAGCCATTAGCCTAGTGATGTATGGCTGGCAGGAATGTGACCCCCTGTCTCCACACGTACGTTACACACGCACGAGCGCGCGCACGCACACACACACACACACACACACACACACACTACTGTGCTGCTGCGGGGATGGAGACTCACGTCACATCACACACTGCCATCACTTCCATACTAAACAGTGGAGTGCTAATCTGGGCCTCAGAGCCATTGAGATGTGCAGTAACTAATTTTCTATGCTGGGAACAGACAGGCAGCAGTAGGTAGATACTGTACTGTTGGCCTCCTACCCCCACTGACTACTGGTTCTAACTCTCCCCAAGAACCAGGCAGGCTGGCTGGGGTGTTTATCATACTAGATGGGCCTCTCTGGTCCCTTCTGAGTTCCTGTCATTGGACTTCATATCACAGGAATGTGGTCAAGAGTGTGTTCTATTCATAGAATGTGTTCTGGTTCTCATCCCCTTGGCTTGGCTGTCTGCCTCCACTCTCCCCTCTCCAGATAGACCAGAGAGAAGGAGAAGAGAGAAACAAAGTGAACGACAGAAGGTAGAGTATTATCCCATCATCCTCCTGGTAGAGATGCTCTGGGGATGTGGATGCTCTAATAATGTTAGCTAATGGACACACTGAGTTTTCACTCTCCAAACCCCTACTCCTTATCAAACTGACTAACTTCACTGGTCTCACAGTGTCTGTCCCATGGCCTCACAGTGTCTGTCCCATGGCCTCACAGTGTCTGTCCCATGGCCTCACAGGAGCCTCCAGCACAGTCTCTGCCTCTGCCTCTGCGTCTGCCTCTGCATCTGCCTCTGTCTCTGTCTGCCTCTGTCTGCCTCTGTCTCTGTCTCTGTCTGCCTCTGTCTCTGTCTGCCTCTGCCTCTGTCTGCCTCTGCCTCTGTCTGCCTCTGCCTCTGTCTGCCTCTGCCTCTGTCTGCCTCTGCCTCTGTCTGCCTCTGCCTCTGTCTGCCTCTGCCTCTGTCTGCCTCTGCCTCTGTCTGCATGTGACTGGGATGGGTCGACACACACAGAGGTTCTGCTGTGACAGAAGTAGAAAGAGCTAGATCTCTCAGAGGGCCTAGGCTGCAGACAGAGAAGAGGCAGGGAGTTTTATCAGAGCTAGTAATAGCTGGTCTAGGCAGGTGCTGTGGGGCGGTGTGTTTGTGTGTGTGAGATGAGGCAGTCACAGGGCCCACAGTACATAGCGCTGCAGCATACAGGGGCTGGTCACAGGAGATAGGGCCCCTCCACTGAGACTGGGGGAAATAAATGGGCCTGTCACAGCAGCTGGATCTGAACTGTCTCCTCTCTTCCCAGGTCTGTATATGATTGTGTAGGGAAAGGAAGGGAGGGGGGACATAGCCTTGGGGTATCTGTGTGTGTTTATGTTGATTGTGTTCCCCTGCATGGACTGTACATGTTTGTCTAACCTACTATTCAACTTCATCACATGAATAGGTACAGCATGTACAGCTATATCACCGTCCATATCATCTGCCTATTCCCAGTGTAACAGGTAATGAGGTGAATCCCAGTCTACTCCATTAGAGGTGGGAAAGTATGGAGGATCCCACAGGCTGGCCCGAGGCCTGGAGGTATGGATTGTGTATGTGTGTGTGTGTGTATCAGTGTGCAGCATGTCTCTCTCCAGCCCTGTCATGTCCTGTCAGAGTCAGGCTGAGGTTGACAGCTCCTTCTCCCAGCAGGAAGTGAGCGAGCGCTGCGTCCAGCTCAGCTCATGGCTGCAGGGTGATGGATGAGAAGCAGGCCAACAGAAACACCACCAATCATAAACAATCAAGCACAGCAGAAAGGTCAGCACGCTACACAGTGGGCAGGAACAAACACACACACACAAACACACACACACACAAAATACCCCTAAAATGTCACAGCAGTAGACAGAGTACTGTGAGCGACATTTATGATATCATGACAATTGGACGCCCTACAGGGAAACATGTCAAACAGTCATCCCAAATCTGTGTGGACAGAAACCACTTGGATGGAGGAAAATGCCCATGAAATAACATGGTGATTTCTTTACCTTCCTCTGTGGTGCGAGCCGACCTGGACTCACTGTCCATGCCCTGGAACTCATTAAAGTAGGGCCGGATCTTGATCTCATAGATGATGCCTTTCTTGAGGTTGGAGAGGACCACGCTGCGCTCTGAGGGGATCTTCACATCCTGGGTCTGCCAGGGTCCTGGGGAAAACAGGCCAGACATCTGCCTATACAGAACTCTGTAGCCCTGGATGAACTGGGACTGACGGTCCACCTGGGACAGATACATGGGGAGAAGAGAAGAGAGGGGTTAGCTTCACTCATCTGTTCGAGGTTCCTAGGAAACACAACCATTTCTTCTCTTCAGTTAGGACAGAGTTGAGAGGAAATACAACATGTCTTCTCTTCAGTTAGGACAGAGTTGAGAGGAAATAGAGAAATAAAGATCATGACCATAGGTGTGCAGCACAGTACTCAGACACCAGAGTACATTAAACAATGTTGTTCAACAGATGTACTTGTTCCTCCCCAAGATCACATCGTGCCACTTTAGAGGCTGTTCCAGTTTTAATTGGTAATTTATCATCAGCTCTGACACAATTAGCTCAATTAGCATCCTCCCTCCGAGAGAGAGAGAGAGAGAGCAGAGGAGAGAGAGAGAGAAAGCAGAGGAGACAGGAACAGTAGGCAGAGGAGAGGAGAGAGAGAGAGAGAGGAGAGAGAGAGATCAGAAGAGAGAGAGAGAGAGAGAGAGAGAAGAGCAGAGAGAGAGAGCAGAGCAGAGAGAAAAGAAGAGAGAGGGAAAGATATGAGAAGAGAATATAGAGGAGAAGGAGAGAGAGAGAGAGAAGAGAGAGAGAGAGAGATATAGATAGAGTTAGAGGAAGGAGATAGAGAGATCTAGAGGTAGAGGCGAGAGATAGGAGGAGAGGATAGAGATCTGCGATCTCTAGATCGAAGATCCGCTGTCCGCCGAAGGATTCTAAAGCGAAAGAGAAGAGCAGCATGGCATTACCTCCCTCTTTCTCAGCACACTGAGCACACAGCACCCAGGCCTTGCATAAAAAGGATTTCAGGAGCACAGCTATAACAGCCCTACATATGCATGTCTCTCTTGTACTGTAACTACCAACTAGTGAAACCCACGGCTGGGTCCCACAAGGACTAGGACAAACGTGTGAGTGTCAGATGATTGGTCGGTGACTGTCGTCCAACCCAGAGGAACTCTGGGAGAATACAAAATACACACCAGGGACAATAAAGACAAATCTGTTCAATCGAGGAGACAGAGAGCCCAGAGGTGCGATTGTGCTCTCCCTGCCAATAAGGGGCCTTGGTTCAAAACTTGGGCCCTTTTAGCCAGAGAGAGAAAAGTTGCATTTATACAGGGGAGGAGGGGGCATAACTCACAGTAATGGCTTGTTAACAGTGGGAGAAATGAGAGGGCCTTTCAAGTGGGATATTAAGCATCTGTTTCAGCCTGTGTAGCCTGAGTAAATCAGCAGAATGGATTCTGGGCTAGCATGGTGTGTAACTTTCATTAATGGAATGATTTGGGAATATAAAAACCTTTCCGAGGCTGCACTATGTTTACTGAATGGGCCCTGATTGATTAGGTGGTCGTGTTCTGTGTTGATTGTACACACACTCATAAAGCAATGCTTTAGTATTAAATAAGCCTGTTAGTCTGGGGGGTGGAAGCTTATTATGGGGTGTCAATAAACATGTCACAGGGAAAACTGCTAATGTGGTTCATTTAGAAATGAAAGCAGCCACCCCAATGTCACCCAACGACATCATAAATATCAACTACTGACTGATTTATAGTGGAGCGGAACAACTGGGGCTAGTTAACGCAGGATAGAAGACCAATGAGGAAATAAAGTCAACCTTGAGTAAGAAGACGAGAGTGCATGTTTAAATGTCATGGTCTAATGTAGAAATACATTGACTGCAAGGATTTTGTCATTAACTGCTGTGTACCCTAGTACTGTAAGAGGCATGATTTCTCTCAATAATTCAGCCTCAGTCCAAATCGTGTTTCTAAATGAATTAAACAGTGTCTCTCTGGCACATGTCTGTCCTTATGGTGGGGTAGACACAGACAGACTGTGCAATGTGTGTGTGGTGTGTGGTGTGTGGTGTGTGGTGTGTGTGTGTGTATGTGTGTGTGTGTGTGATGTGTTGGGGAGCAGGTGTGTGTGGGGGAGAGGTTGGTGAGTAAGCTGGTTTGAGAGACACTCCAGAGATGGAGGACCACAAACATGCCAAATATACACCATTCATTTCAATGTACTTGTTTCTATGCAAAGCTTTTATCTTAATTCAAAATTAACCAAAGATAGACGTAAGATTGATGAGACCAGATGTCCCTGACACCTCTTTTGATGTTCGCTGCAGCTGAATGAAACCATTTCTCAACTGTTTGATGTTCACTTAAGAGTCAGCTATTATAATGTATCAAAGCTGTATAGTCTTAGGATTTATTTGATTCGTATTTCCTTACATGAAAACACCAACAGGAGCCCTGAGGAACACCTTGCCAGCTTCAAAGAGTCCACATACCCTTTATATCAACTCTAATGACTTTAGGACTCAAGGTGGTAAAATCAAAGACATAGAAAAGGCCAGAGCTGAGTAGTTATTCGAGAATGAGGTTGGTGTAAATTCAAATTGATTTCACATATTTAATCTTATACGACAGAATAAAGGAACACACAGACACCTGGCAGAGCTGAATAGCAATAACTAACTGCAAAGTCTGCTGAATGGTTATGTCTGTGACATACAGTTGAATTGTCAAATCAAATGTTTTGTCACAAGCGCCAAATACAACAGGTGTACACCTTACCGTGAAATGCTTACTTACAAGCCTTTAGCTAATTTTCCCCCAATATCGGACACCCACTAACTTCGGACACTCTCTAGCGGTTGGAGGACTAAATCACCTCGAGCTCAACTGTCACGTTCGTTTAAAGAAGGGTCGGATCAAGGTGCAGCGTGATATGCGTACATGTCTATTAACGATAAACACACAACAAAACAACAAAGGAAACGAAACGTGAAGTCCAAAGGTACAACACAACAAACCTTACACGGATCAAGAACCCACAACTAGACAGTGCCAAAAGGCTGCCTAAGTATGATTCCCAATCAGAGACAACGAGCGACAGTTGCCTCTGATTGGGAACCACACCGGCCAACATAGAAATACAAATCTAGAATATTCACACCCTGACCAAACTAGCTAGAGTTCTGTAGGCCAGGGCGTGACATCAACATTTAAATGGACTGGAAAATGACGGTAAGTTTTGCGACTAACGACACCCTTCTAGCTAGCTGACCACTGATTTTCAGTGCAATTTATGTAAGTTAGGTTTTGAGAGTTTTCAAAAAAGTTATACAGTATGTTGGTTCAATCTTGTAATTGAACAAAATAGTAAGGTGGCCAATAACGATAATACGGGACATATTTTTTTGCTAAACCGCTTATCAAAAAGCTGATAATAGTAGTATTCACTGAATTGTCAAACATGATAATTGCTAACCCGTTAGCTAACATTTTTACGACACCAATAATCACAAAACTTGATGGCTTGATCACAAGATAACACTGTTGAAGGTAATACATTTCTTAAACACTGTTGAATATGCCGATAATATGGGGTTCCACGCTAGACAGAGAGAGTGCAGTTTTAAGAAAATATAATTAAAAAAATATTTACTAAATGAACTAAAGTTAAAAATAAAAAATACAGGGGGTACCAGTACAGAGTCAATGTGCGGGGGCACAGGTTAGTCGAGGTAATTGAGGTAACGTACATGTGGGAAGAGGTAAAGTGACTATGCATAGAAAATAAACAGACAGTAGTCGTGCCATCTTCGCAAATGTCTTGGTGTGTTTGGACCAAGATAGTTTGTTGGTGATGTGGACACCAAGGAACTTGAAACTTTCGACCCGCTCCACTACAGCCCCGTCGATGTGAATGGGGGCATTATCGGCCCTCCTTTTCCTGTAGTCCACAATTATCTCCTTTGTCTTGATCACGTTGAGGGAAAGGTTGTTGTCCTGGCACCACACTGCCGGGTCTCTAAACTCCTCCCTATAGGCTGTCTGATCGTTGTCGGTGATCAGGCCTACCACCGTTGTGTCGTCAGCAAACTTAATGAGGGTGTTGGAGTCATGCGTGGTCATGCAGTCGTGGGTGAACAGGGAGTACAGGAGGGGACTAAGCACGCACCCCTGAGGTTCCCCCGTGTTGAGGATCAGCGTGGCAGATATGTTGTCCCAGGGTCCTTAGCTTAGTGCTGAGTTTTGTGGGCACTATTGTGTTGAACGCTGAGCTGTAGTCAATGACCAGCATTCTCACATACACTACCAGTCAAAAGTTTGGACACACCTACTCATTCAAGGGTTTTTCTTTATTTTTACTATTTTTTACATTGTAGAATAATAGTGAAGACGTCAAAACTATGAAAGAGCACATATGGAATCATGTAGTAACCAAAAAAAGTCTTAAACAAATCAAAGTATATTTTATATTTGAGATTCTTCAAATAGCCACCCTTTGCCTTGATGACAGCTTTGCACACTCTTGGCATTCTCTCAACCAGCTTCATGAGGTAGTCACCTGGAATGCATTTCATTTAACTGGTGTGCCTTCTTAAAAGTTAATTTGTGGAATTTCTTTCCTTCTTAATACGTTTGAGCAAATCAGTTGTGTTGTGACAAGGTAGGGGGGGTATACAGAAGATCACCCTATTTGTTAAAAAAAGTCCATATTATGGCAAGAACAGCTCAAATAAGCAAAGAGAAATGACAGTCCATCATTACTTTAAGACATGAAGGTCAGTCAATACGGAACATTTCAAGAACTTTAAAGTTTCTAAAGTGCAGTCGCAAAAACCATCAAGCGCTATGATGAAAACTGGCTCTCATGAGGACCGCCACAGGAAAGGAAGATCCAGAGTTAACTCTGCTGCAAAGGATAAATTAATTAGAGTTACCAGCCTCAGAAATTGCAGCCCAAATAAATGCTTCACAGAGTTCAAGTAACAGACACATCTCAACATCAACTGTTCAGAGGGAACTGTGTGAATCAGGCCTTCATGGTCGAAATGCTGCAAAGACTCCACTACTAAAGGACACTAGTAAGAAGAAGAGACTTGCTTGGGCCAAGAAACACGAGCAATGGACATTAGACCGGTGGAAATGTGTCCTTTGGTCTGGAGTCCAAATTTGAGATTTTTTGGTTCCAACCGCAGTGTCTTTGTGATACACGGTGTGGG